GAAACTGACAAGTGCTGTTTTTCTGGGTAGCTCTCTTTCTGTCTGTGCTTGCCTTCACTATTTAGCCAGTGATCTTCCATATAGATAGACAGGTATTTGTTTGATGATAGAATGATCAGGTTTACTATGATTGGAGAAATTAGATACCTTGTGAAATACATTAAAGAAAAAAGACGATGAATGGTAAAGATTGTAGGGATGAATGCCTGAAAAAGGCAGGGGTTGCAGAGCAAAAAAACAAAATGGCAGACCTGAAGAGGACTGAGTGAAAAATCAAAAGGGAGACTGAATGATATAAAGAGGGGATGACTTTGCCCAAAGGAGGAAAGAAGCAGATCATGGCTGAGGTTGCCTGCAGTTCAAGTTTTCCAAACACAGCTCAGAGCTTCCTAAACCTCATTGCAGAAATCCAATGATATCTTTGTCTTTTCTTCACACCTTCCAAAGACATAGAACAGCTGTAGTATTCCTCCAAGCAACTTGACATTTTAACAACTGCAACAACTTGTCATTATAAAAATGGTTAGTTATATATTAATGTGTAAAAACAAAAAGTTGAGGCTGAAGTGTTTTTATTTTGTACTGTGCTAAGAAGAGTTAGAAGTCAACATCTGCGTTTTTGTTTCCTCCCCCCAATGTATCTCACACCTTCTTTTCCCCATTCCTTTTCCTTTCCTTAATTTCCCGTTTCTATTTTTTCTTTCTATTTTATATAATTAAAAATTAAAAAAAATACTGAATGAGAACTGTCTTCTCTGCTCAACTAAAATTGTATGAAGAAAAATATCTGCATTGGGTAAGAGATTGCTGAACATATCCAAAAGTTTGGGGGCATATCAGAAGGTCTTAATAAACACAATGGGTTTTTAACACAAAACAACCATTCACGGATATGATGTTATCCTTTCACTCTGTATGACTCTTGGTGATTCTATGGAACAGGTCTCTCCATATCTTCTGATCTAGCATTACTTCTTTGAGTTGTTCTGTGTTTTGGTTGCTGTCAGCTTTGATGATGGTTCATGGATAAGGTACTGTAATTAGTTTCACATGTAGCCCAAATCTACACAATAATGCTGTCTTCTTCTCTTTTCCACTGACTCCTTCATCCAAGTTTAATGTCAGGATTCCAGCAGCTACCCCAATTAAATCATGAGTCTCGAGCCAAACTTCCAAAACTTCAAAACAATTTATTGGGAGTTAAAATATCCGGCACTACCTGGGTGTAGCTGACTCCAAGACACACAATTCATTGTCACCCTTGACTCTGGTTTTCCCCCACCTCCTGGATGAATCATAATTCATATTTTCCAATGGGACATATCCATAGCCAAGTATTGTCAATCATATTCTCCAGTAAGAATTTTGCATGGTAGAAACTTCAGTCACCTTGTTACTATCTTTGAAAACTATTTCTTGAATGCACTTTCGGTTTCCAAGCTGCTGCACTGCTCCCCCCTCGCTTTCTGTTGGCAATTCTAAAAAGACTATAGAATATTTTATGAGTTGACATTTAAATCCTATATCAGCCTGGCCATATTTTTTTTTTTTTTTTTTGCATTTGATGGAATGAAATTCAGCTCATGTAAGCTAATATCTTTCAGTAAATTTGTTGGTCAGAAAAGATGCTCCTAGAGTCCTCCTGATTTGATTTTATTTTGTGCCTGAAGGTAGTAACTCTACACTACTGATCTGTTAAATTGTATTCTTTGAATTGCCTGCTCCCTCCACCTTCTACATGACATGATCTAGTTCCCTACTCACTAGGATTTTCTTGGTTGACTTGTCTTCAGTTACTGTGGACTCATTTGATGTGACTTAGGGCTAAAACTTCTTTATATCCATCCTAATTTCCCTGACAAAATTAAAGATCTGATTACCTTCTCTGGGATTACAGTATTTGATGGGAATCCATTCTCAAAATTCTGCAATCTGGAAGTCTCATTTGTAATCAATGAGATATATAATCAAAGACCACCATGTAAACACATGTAGAATTGTGGTGTTCACTTCTTCATCTTGCGTTTGCAAAGTAAATTCTATCAAGCTAAATCATTATATTAATGCAAAGATATAGGGCACTATTGTACCTGCACTGAAGTGTTTCTTTTCCAATGCATTATGTACTCTAAATTTATTTTGCAAGCTCCATGTACATTGCTTGCATAATAAAAACCAAAATAGGTCATGTATTGTAAGGCTGATGTTTATTTGTTATATTGATATGTGTCATGAAAGGAACTGCATACCATGTGATTCTGGTGTTTTGTCTTGATTATTTCAGAAGGATAAATGCCATTATTTAAACATTATTATCTAGGGTAGAAATACTATCAGCAGGTTGAATGTTATCTTCTTCTTTAAGTCAGACTATCTTCAATATATCTTTGAATACCACAGTGATAAAGACACTAGCATTAATGATTTCTTCCCTTCATAAAAATCTAGCATTTCCTGCAGTTTATTCAAATTCTTTAAGTCAGATTTAAATTTGCAGATTCATTCATTCATTCATTCATTCATTCATTCATTCATTCATTCATCCATCCATTCATCAAATTTACATGGCGCCTATCTCACTATCCAAAGAAACTCTGAATAAAGATCTGTTTTGTGTATTATTAACAATAATAGATTTTCACAAACATGATAATGAATCAACCAATGCTATTCATTAGTGAAATAGTTTAAAGTGAAGCAAAATAAGTCTATAGAACAATTTAATAACAAAATTACATTGACTGTCCAAAATATTGCAGCCGTCTAAGGCAATCTTTAAATAAACTTATTAGCTGTACAACAGTTTATTCATTAAAATGATAGATTTGCAATGTGGGTGCAAATAGCTCTTTCTTTTCTTTCTTTCTTTTTTTTTACAAATATTAATTTTCTTCCACCAAGTTTTTAAAGCTATTTTATTTGCAGCAGAACATGTTTAATTTTTGAGTGTTTTATTTTATTTCTATAACTGGGGAGCTGGCAACTCCTGAGGTTCTTAGCCATCCAGATCTCTTGATTTAACTCTCTTTTTCCCATTAGGAGTCCCAAAGATGATATTCTCACCATATTTTTAGGTGAAAAAAACCCAAATGCAGGAAACACCTATGCCAAAACATCATGAATCTACTACTTCTATTTTTTTCTATTTTTAATAATCACTTTATGGAAAAACAAATTAGTCTTTTCTAATTAAAAAGAAAAGAAGACCAGCTTGTTTCAAAATCTTCAATTATTTTTGTATCCAAAAATGGCCCTGTGTTATTTTGGATGTTTGGGAGGTTTATCTACCTACCTAGAATTAAAGACAAAGGAAAAGCAATAGAAAGATGAGAAGCAGTTAAAAGCACCGTAATAATTTGCCACCCAACAAGTTTTAGGACTGACCATGCCCCACCATATTGGCAGCTGTTTGTCAACGAGGAAGCCTTTGCATTTATAATTATGTGTGCTACTGGGGCTCCACATTCCTACTAGGCCCACTAGGGCCAAAAGGTGATTTTTCCCTGTGCCCAATTTGTAATATTTTTTTTTACATTCAACCTTACAATTCAGAGAAAGAAGGATGGTTTCATGTTTATTAAACTACCTCTGCAGGGACTCTTTGCTTGAAAAGTCCTTTGACAGAGCATGAAAGATACTATAATGTGGTCATGTTGTCTTAAACTATTTGTCTAATTAACGTGAGAGGTTGCAGCAATTATTTTTGTTATCTCTGGCAGCTCAAGTAAAAGAACTTAAATGTATGAGGTGTTTTTCCCCAAACACACAGAAAGGCACTATAATGAGAAAGAAATATTCAGCACTATTTACTGTTGAAATAGCAAAGCAAAGGAAAAATATCAAAATAAATTAAGGAACCTATGTGCATGCTTTGATTTGATAAGGGCTGTAGCCTGTATCTGAAGAAGCAAGATTCATATCTGTTCAATAATATCTTAACTGTATTGACTATGTGTAAGTGTAACTTACACACAGCTAGCAGTTGATACAATGAATATCAAGAGGTGTAATATTAGAAGTCTGTTTTGTAATATTGTTTTCACTTTGACACTTCTGAGTTGGTAAGAACACAGTTCTGCCAGTATTAGGGCTGTGTCAAAATCAATATGTTACAACAGAAGTTTGGACTGACACTTTTAATTCAATCCCAACATTCCTGGGCTGCACAAGGAATGTAGATTTATGTTGATTGAGAAAGCTGCACTTGTAGTCTATACACAAGTTAACAGTGAAAAATAAAATAAGCTGTATATTTTCAATGCTACTTTTGGAGGTCTATTTAAATCCCCAGCACCATCCTTATATCCACATTATATTTATAATTCTTCAAAGGAATGCATATAGCTATCTTATTTCAGGTCAAATTCCCATACCATCTCTCTTTATATGGTATATTCAGACTGATCTCAGCTTCTAAGTGTCTTAGCCAGGGAATCCTATCTCTTGCCTAATTCTTTTCACCCATGAAACAAGGATGGCATAAGGAATAGTCTTCATAGAAAGCATATATTTCATCTTTAATCTTTCCTAGAGAAATGAGACCAGTTCCTGCCCTATAGGAAAAGGTTCCCACCTCCCCCCACCCCACCGGGCCCAAAATTCAGGCGGTCTCTACCTGGTGGTGTTTTGAAGAGCCTTGAAGACTTGGTTCTTCTCCCAGGCCTTTGGCCAGGGTGAATGAAGCCCCCTTGGATTGTGTGTATTTGTTTTGTTATTATTATTGTTCCTATTTGGTTCTTGTCATCTTTGCCATCTTTTGTTCTTCATTTTTGTTTCTCGTATTTTTTAATGTTTTTATTTGTGAATCATTGAGAGTTAGGTGGCATTCAAGTTAAATAGATAGATAGATAGATGATAGACAGACAGACATACAGACAGACATAATTTTCTAGAGATAACTGTGTATGACCTTTACATTTGATTTTTCTTATATTTTCATCAGTAAGAGGGCAAACGTAATATGTTCAGTCACCATTCACTTAAGCAGAGGAAAGTCTTACCTTAGTGTTATTGGTACAAGGGCATCCCTGTTAATGGAGTGATTGGCACTCACTGTCAAAATGTTTGGAGAAGGGCCACAGCCAAATCGAGCAGTTGGCTTCCCATTCACAAGGTAAAGATGAAGGAAATGTTCTTCTGCGAATTCATCACGAGCTTTAAAAATAATGAAATTATTTATTTATATGATACTTACACAGAGATAAAAAAAGTTCAATTCTTGCTCAGTTTTAAACTCCATCTTGATTTTGAGATAGTTCAATATCTATTTTTATTTTTATGTATCTTCCTTGTTCACCAATTCCTTTCCATTACAGTTCCAACCCAATTGTGGGGATTTTTGTAGCTTTCTTTATTTCAGAAACCAGTATGATACATACCAACTCTTTGTTCAGGATAAAAAATAGCTTTTAAAAAAAGGATTTCCATAACTCTACAAACCTCAGTTACACTTTCCTATTGACACAGTCTCTAGAGGTATGGGGGAGGGAAGCAGTTTTAAATACATTTACATGAACATGGAAAAACATAAATCAATATTAAAATATTTGAAAAAAACCCTACCATTACCATCAATTTCAGAAAGTTCAAATTATATTTTTCCAGTGAGTGTTCCATGATGGTCAACAGTACATTGTATTCTCTTTGGACCTTTCTGCTTTCAAAACAAACTAATGATATTTGTATATAGAACCACTAGCACCAGCACTGGTATTAGCTGAATGTGATCTTTACTAATGTGATGTCTCTACAGGTGAAACTCGAAAAATTAGAATATCATGCAAAAGGTCATTTATTTCAGTAATGCAACTTAGAAGGTGAACCTAATATATGAGATAGACTCATTACATGCAAAGCAAGAGAGTTCAAGCCGTGATGTGTCATAATTGAGATGATTATGGCTTACAGCTCATGAAAACCCCAAATCCACAATCTCAGAAAATTAGAATATTGTGAAAAGGTTCAATATTCTAGGCTCAAAGTGTCCTACTTTAATCAGCTAATTAAGCCATAACACCCGCAAAGGGGTTCCTGAGCCTTTAAATGGTCTCTCAGTCTGGTTCAGTAGGAATCATAATTATGGGAAAGACTGCTGACCTGACAGTTGTGCAGAAAACCAACATTGACAGTCTCCATAAGGAGGGAAAGCCTCAAAAGGTAACTGCAAATGAAGTTGGATGTTCCCAAAGTGCTGTATCAAAGCACATTAATAGAAAGTTATGTGTAAGGGAAGAGTGTGGAAGAAAAAGGTGCACAAGCAGCAGGGATGACCACAGAGGATTGTCAGGAAAAGGCCATTCAAAAGTGTTGGGGACTTTCACAAGGAGTGGACTGAGGCTGGAGTCAGTGCATCAAGAGCCACCACACACAGACAGATCCTGGACATGGGCTTCAAATGTCACATTTCTCTTGTCAAGCCACTCCTGAACAACAAACGTCAGAAGCGTCTCACCTGGGCTAAAGAAAAACAGACCTGGTCTGTTGCTCAGTGGTCCAAAATCCTCTTTTCTGATGTGAGCAACTTTTGCATCTCATTTGGAAACCAAGGACCCAGAGTCTGGAGGAAGAATGGAGAGGCACACACTGCAAGATGCTTGAAGTCCAGTGTGAAGTTTCCACAGTCTGTGTTGATTTGGAGAGCCATGTCATCTACTGGTGTTGGCCCACTGTGCTTCATTAAGTCCAGGATCAATGCAGCCATCTACCAGGAGATTTTGGAGCACTTCATGCTTCCTTCCACAGACGAGCTTTATGGGGATGCTGACTTCATTTCCAGCAGGACTTGGCACCTGCCCACACTGCCAAAAGCACCAAAACCTGGTTCAATGACCATGGGATTACTGTGCTTGATTGGCCAACAAACTCGCCTGACCTGAACTCAATAGAGAATCTATGGGGCATTGCCAAGAGAAAGATGAGAGACATGAGACAGAACAATGAAGGCCGCTATTGAAGCATCCTGGTCTTCCATAACAGCTCAGCAGTGCCACAGGCTGATAGCTTCCATGCTATGCTGCATTGAGGCAGTAATTGCTGCAAAAGGGGCCCAAACCAAGTACTGAGTAAATATGCATGCTTATACTTTTCAGAGGTCCGATATTGTTCTATGTACAATCCTTGTTTTATTGATTGCATGTAATATTCTAATTTTGTGAGATTGTGGATTTGGGGTTTTCATGAGATGTAAGCCATAATCATCTCAATTATGACAAATCACAGCTTGAACTATCTTGCTTTGCATGTAATGAGTCTATCTCATATATTAGTTTCACCTTTTAAGTTGCATTACTGAAATAAATGAACTTTTGAACGATATTCTAATTTTTTGAGTTTCACCTGTATATCGGTACTTTTGTTGAGTTTCTTTCCTCAATGGAGAATTGCTTTCAATATTCCACTGGCACTTGAGAAAAATTAAGAATCTTAAGCAATGGAAAATTATTGTTTTTATTGGTGAAGAGCTACCTAGACCTACTGTATTTTATCTTTTGGCACCAAACATCACAATCCTCATTTGGCTTGTGAAGTCTTCCAAAATGATGGGAGTCTTTAGTTTCTTTGGTTATCCCCAGAGCAATTAGAAAGCAGAATCACTTTTCTATGTAGCCAAGATAATATTGGAAAAAGCAAAGAAAGGTGGGTCTGATTGATATCTTATCATCCAAGACCATCAGAATATCCCTTCACAGGTTCTCGTTCAAGGACTGATTGCATTAAAAGACCAAGTTGTCCATTAGAGATAATTTATTATCCTTTGAAGGCAACAATATGGAGCCTGCATTCAAGACAGAGAAGAAGCTATAAGACCAGTGTTATGATTGGATAGCTAAAGACCTTGCAGGAGATTCTGAACAGACACAACCCACCAATGGAAGAGAACAAAATCTGATATGAGTTATCTGCATGATCTTTTGGGATGGTCATTCAAAAGGGAGATGTTCTTAAGCAACAGAAAAGAAAGAAAGAATAAAGAAAATGAAATATTGAGAGCATCTTGGCAAGAGCCAACTGAAACTTGGGCTTATCACTGGTGGTAAATTTAAGCATTTAAGTTCATCTCAGAAACAGCATATTAGAAATGTTGGAATTAGTCCTGCAATTATATATCAGTGTTTCATGTGTTATAGTCAATTGAAGTAAAAAAATAAAAATAAAAATGATCTTGTTCTTTCAAGTTTGCCATCCAGCTAGACTATATTTGTATCTAAAAAGCAAGCAAAAGATATGCAATTGAAACTGCCACAATACTCCAGTGCTTGATCCAACAATGCACTTTTTTTCTCTTTCAAGTATCAACATTTCTGAAAGCAAAAAAGTCATTTCTTATCAATAATTTATTACAGGAATGTGTATAATATGCCACCTGGAATATGGTCAAATGTATATTCAAACTTTGATCCAGCATACTATGGTAAAGTCTTAGTTCTTCCCCGCAACCCCCACCCCCCAAAAAATACAGAAGTCCACTTCTATATCCACAGCAAAAGTCTCCAAATTAGTGTCTGTTTATAGCAGAGTACTTATGTATTTCTACATAACTGACAATACTTTTTTAAAAATCCTTCTCTCAAACCTCAAGAAAGTTTGTTGTATAGGAAACAGAATTCAAAAATTGTTTAGTAATAAGGAAAGCTTTATTTTCCTTCATCTCAGCAAGTATCCAAAATGGCTGTTCTAGTGGTAGGCCTTGACTTATGGCCACAATTGAGTCCTGAATTTTGGTTGTAAGTTGTTGCCTTTTTTATATGAGTTACCACATGAACTGACTCAATTTTACAATCTTTTTACAATGATCATTAAGTGAATCATCATGGTCATTAAATGAGTGAATCATGTGGTCGTTAAATAAATCCAGCATACCCGGGGGGCCTTTTGTGCTGTTTTCTGCTGGAAAATGGCAAAAGGTCATAATTCATGGTCCTATGACCATGGGGCACACTGAAACAGTTGTAAATGCAATCTAGTTGCCAAAATGCGATCATTTGACTATGGGAGAGAAGAGTGTGGCAGACATAATTTTCAAGGGTGAGATGTAAGTACTTTTTTTAAAAGTCTATCCTAATCTTGAATGGTTGTTCAGTGACTGTCATTAAGCAAGGATTACCTGTATTACCAAGAGGTCTATTTCAAAGTGTTTACCAAAGATGATTTCAGCCTTGGAAGCCATATTTTACTTGGAAGCTTTGAGGCTGCCATATTTAGTGCCTGGGAATTTGGGAAGGGGGGATTTCATAGAGAAATGGAAGATTAGACTCAACAACATTCTTTCACTGAAAGTCAAGGACATGTTACCCTGTACCTGAAGAGGAGTGTCTGGAAGAATGTCACCAGTTGGGACATTGTTTGATTGGATCATGTGATGGACTGGAGTGCAGGGGATGGATCTTTGATTTTCTTTTGGGAAGGGAAAACTTGGAGCTCTTGGATTCAGGTTTTCCCAGATGTGCCAATATGACAACTCTAATAAAATGGAACTTAGAGGAAATATTTGTCTTGGAGTTTATTGGGTTGGAGTTTGTTAGTTGGAACACTGACAGAGGACTTTCACCACCACCACCACCACCACCATTTCTCTTCTTCTTTATTAGAATTACCATCTGACCACACAATTCTGTTTATTGTTCTATCCTACAGTCTTCTTGTTGGTTTTTAATGCATTTTTCCTGTGTCCTCTCTACCTATCCATTTGTGATTTTTGTTACTGCTACTTATTTTCTCAAGCTTTTTTTTTCTCCCAAGCATCTTTAACATCAGGTATCCTGTTCCACAACTTTCTTATAATTTGGAAATCTTCTAGCTGGTGGTGGGATTCAACATTTTTTACTACTGGTTCTGTGAACATGGCTTGGTGGGCATGGCATGGCTTGGGGAAGGATACTGCAAAATCCCCATTCCCTCCTCACCACACAACTTGCTTTCCAGCTCTTTTCTCCCGTGCCGGGCAACTAAAGAAGACCCAGCCAATCAGCTGGGACTCGGGAGGCAGAGAATAGATAGGGGCGGGGCCAGTCAGAGGTGGTATTTACCGGTTCTCCAAATTACTCAAAATTTCTGCTACCGGTTCCCCAGAACTGGTCAGAATCTGCTGAATACCACCTCTGCTTCCAGCCCTCAGCTATCTCTGTGAAAATATTGAATCAACACCAAACAGACAATCTTCTGTGCCCATACCCAAACCTTGCTGTTTTCCTATGATTTCAATTTGGTTACTGAGGCCTTACCATCACAAGGCATGCTGACAGTTAGATTGCAATCCAATGAAAGTAAATCACTGCCGAACATAGCAGGGCTTCTTTCTGGGATTTAAGAGACAACAACAAAACGATCTGCACCAAAATATGATTGGGTGCACATGGGCAAATGTTCTGTGAATGGTTCACCTAGGACAAGGGTGTGAAACTCACGGTCCGCGGACTGGATGCATCACATGCTGGGCATGGCCTCGCCCGGTTTAGTGAAGGGGGAAAAAGTCCTGATACGTCACATGATGTCACCATGATGACACAAGTTTGATATTCCTGACCTAGGAGAAAGTACTCCACAAGGAGAGGACCAACCTAGAACTAAGGAGAAATTATCTGACAGTGAGAACAATTAATCAATGGAACAGTGACTTGCTTCCAGAAGTTGTAGATGCTCCATAACTGGAAGATTTTTTAAGAAGAGATTAGACAGCCACTTGTCTGGAATGTATAGAGTCTGCTGCTTGGACTAGAAGACCTTCAAGGTTCCTTCCAATTCTTGTTATTCTGCTTGCTAAAAAGTTTGAAATCACCTTTATGCACTTCTGAACATCTGGAGCATATTGTTTACAAAATCACCATCTGGCTTTGTTCTGCTTTTTAGCTCTCTGCTGGGCTGATGATGAAAATTGTCCCAGAAGTTTAAATGCAGGATCCTGCAGAGCTTAGTGTTGTTTTGGATCTGTCTAGGGAAAATAATCATGTTTGGGAAGACTGCAATGTAATACTTCCCTAGAGAATAACTAAATATCAATTAGCTGGCAAGTTATGGCTGTGATAAATAGCACAGTGAATGTACCTGCAAAGCTCATCACAGCATATAATGCCCTGCCAGGACTGGCAAGTACAGGAACAAATGGTCCATTCTTCTTTTCTATTCAATGAATTTGATGTCAATATAATTTATTGTCTATACCTTTTTTATCTATAGAAATCTATGATCCAGTAAAATAGAAGTTGTGTGGGAAAGTGCAAACACTGAAATTATTCTTGGGGTTATACTTTCACTGACTAGTTTCAGTTAGATGAGTGAAAATGAACCATATTATGGGTGAGGTTGTCTTCCTATATAGGTACCCCCAAAGACCCTTTCAGCCACGAACCCACCTTCTAACTGAGAATTATTCTTTGATCTTTTTTATTATCAGAGAGTTCTACTGTAGAATCCTGGAGTTGAAAGGGATCAATAAGACTGAAAGGAATACATTGAAACTAAAGCATTCCAGAGAAATGGTCTTCTAGCATTTGCTTGACCAAATGCAATGATGGGGACCCTACTCCCTTCTCTAGGTTCTCAATTTTACTGTTGAACTGCTCTTAATGATAGGAAGTTTCTTTGAACATTAAATCAGAATCTGCCTTCCTATATCATGACACTACCATTATGGATGTTGCAATCTGGAAACCAAGAGGACAGGCCTTGATGTGTGTGATATTGGTTCAGGTATTTGAAGACTGCTACCATCTTCTCCTTCTGTCAATATCAGTATATTATATCTGGCTTTACAGGACATAGTTTAAAATCCTTCCTGTGATCATCTTCAGGGAATGCCAGCAATTTATGTGACTTGTTAACTTCCTTTCGGTCTCCACAAAGATGTCGTCCTTTGCATAGCCAATTAAGTTCCAGCATAACTTTTTTTGACTTTTTATGTGATTTTATAGAACTTTTATCTTGCCATTTTCGGCCTTGAAACTGGGGGACCTGTTGGTATCCACAGAGGATCAAAACACAGAAGATTATGGTTTTGTAAGAGGCAGAGTTTATATTACAATATCATTACACAGATGTTGTTATTTTGACAAAATATCTGGTGACTGAGGTCCACATGACTCCACTGCTTCTTAATAGCTTGGCTAGTTGACTTACAAGTTGTTAACTTTGGTATGCAGATCTAAGTGTCCTATAATATGGGACTGGTATCCCTTTATTCAAGTACATCTTTTGTTTCATTTATTGAAATAAAACTTCTCTCTTCTAGTTTACTTAAATCCAAACACTTCAAAATCACTAAGGCCTGAAGACTCTGATTCAAAAAATAATCTGGAACCATTTGTTTAAAGGCTTAATCTTGGGAGAATTGGTTGGTCCTGTTCTATTCCAGTCATCTTTCAGGAGGAGAGGACATCTCCCATTCAAGAACAGGGACTGAAGCTTAATTTTTTTCACTAGAAGTACAGATGCCTCCAGACTCCTGTATCCAGGTGAGAGAGTGGAGATGCTAGGAAAAAAATAGGGCCGGCTTGCCTTTCTGAAACTTGCTATATAAATAAAACAGTTATACTCACCATAAAGGAGAGTGCCATTTAAAGCAGTGGTCTTCACAGTCAAGTAAATTGTCACTTTGTTCCGTTCTTTCCCTGATGCAAATCTATCCTCCGACAGGGATGATAGTGAAGGTAGTTCTAAATAGGAGTTTCCGCTGAATGATGGGAAGAATAACGTTGTATCTGGAGCAAACAAAAGTACATGACTGTGTCAATGCAAAATTAGACTGACTTGCTTTTTTTGCCCAAGGAAAATAAGACTTCACGCCATCAGGACCCTGCAAGAAATAAAGATGGCATGCGAGAGATTTGTCACACAAGCCATTCCTATTTTCCTTTTGTTTGTGTTAGGTATAACATTGGTCACCTAACTAGTTTGGGTAAGATAATATATATATAAGCTATGATTCTTAGTTTAAAGTGTGTGTTACTTTAAATGCAAAGCATGTATTTTGGGTGTGATGTGAAAACACCATAAGAGGGAGCAAGAGATGCTGATGAGACGCTGAGGATTCCCTGATGCTTTGCTGGCAATTACTGTAGTTGCAGACGGAAGAGAGGAGTTTCTGAGTTTGTGCATATCTCTCTCTACTG